CCGCCCCCTGCCGCCCCTTCTCCACGCCCCGCCCCATAGGCTCCGCCCCTACACCGGTGCCCGCTCTTCCCAGCACCCGCCGGCTCCCCTCTTCTGCTCCCGAGCCTCAGCCCCGCACCCCCAGCCCTACCCAGCTCCTATGGGCACCCCACTTTGGCTCTCGGGGCTCTCGGTGCCTGGCCCAGCCTTTACCTCCGGGTGTGACCCTCAGTTCTTTGTCCTTTGAAGTCGGGCAGTTTCCTCCCCGGAGACAATGCTTGCGGGTGTGGGCTTCGGGTGTACGAGGCCGGAAGCTCAGCGTGCTTGCGGGATGGGGAGTAAAGATTGGGGCTTGGGCATTTTAGGAAAGATTTTTAAATTCCGAATGAAGAATTGCTAAGGAAACCCCTGGAGCCTGGCCTGAAAACTGGAGCCCCTGAGTTTATCTCGCCCAGGGGGCCAAGTCGGGCTCCCAGCCCACCTCCTCCCAGTGCAGTCCCCTCTCCCCGGCGCCTTTGTCTCCTGGGTTTTCTCTGCAAGTTGAACCCTGTGCGAGCGCAACCTAGCGAGGCACTTGAGTGTAAACGAGGCCTTTCTGTGACCAAGATCCAGGCAAACGCTGATTTTGCCTACCTGGGTTGGTTTTAATGGCGTTTGCCTGGCGGCGCATTACCTTTGGTCTGGGTCAGCTGGCTACGTATGGTGTTTCGCCTCTCTAAGGGGTTTGCCAGCCCCTGTGGAAAAGTCTCCCTTCTGTTTACTCAGTGTTGTGAAATATGGTTTTGCACAATGCTATTGTGTCTCCAAAACGAACATTAAAGTATGTTTTTGGTTGCATGTGAGCCCTGTATATTTGAAAGCAAGCGAGAAAATATTTAGAACCTAATTAAGCTAATCTCTACTACTTGAGGTTTGAATTAAGCCTATACTCTCTTCCACCTCCTGTACGTATACTGATCATTATCCACCAATGTTACATTTTCATGAATAGCTTATAGTAAGAACCAGAGACACGATTTCAAAATACGTTAAGGTAAGCCGGGGATGGTGATAGCTCACGCTTGTAATCCTAGCAGTCTGGGAGGCTGAAGCAGGAGGAGTGCCTCCTCTCCTTAACACTAACGAACAGCTATTTCAGTACAGATTTGTTTCCAAAATTTATTTTTAGCCACAAAGTTCCTTTAAAATAAGCCGAAACCTATGGCTCTTTACAAGTTGAGTAACTGGTATAATGATGAAACAAAACGAGTTAAGTGCAGCAGCACTCTATTTCAGGTGATGTAGCCAAGAGGAAGAAACCACTGCCTTCTGGTAGTTTTTTTATTATGTAATGCGGCTTTTACTATTTTATAAAGATCTGCATACAATTGTTTCCACATATTCTGTGAAATTATATTCAATATTAAACACGGTTTTGTAAACATGTAAGGCAGAAAATGAATGAAATGCTCATGCAGTGAATTCTTTACCATAAGGATTCAAATCAGCATTTTTCTGTTGTCAGATTGGCCTGGTGGACTTGAGAAGGAATTCCCTTTGGACTAGGTCCATGGTAGATAGTATCCAGAACTGGTGTTAGTACCTAAGTTGTATTGTTTCCCAAATGAATATGCTCCTCGGGAGACTGGCCCATTGCCACTGGCGAATCGTGATCAGCCAGAATCCTCAGCGAGTACACTGGTAGTGTGCTTGAATTCATTTTCTGTGTATGTTTTAGTGCTGACGCTTGCCACTCAAATTAGACCTGCTTTTAGTGTATCATTTTACCTTGGCGATCTATTATTCATTACCTGAGTGCATGAGGAAGGCAGTGTTGTGATGCACACATTGTTAAATGTCTTGGTGAGACCGTACTTTGTGTTTTTAACGTATGTAATTACATTTAAGATCAAGCAAGGCTTAGTTTTGTTTGTTACTGATTTTCTTCTGTGAAGATGGATTTGTTACATAGGGGTTGTAGTTGATGACTTTTAGATATTAATATGTTTGCTGCTGCTACCAAGAGCTTTGTCAAGCAAGTTGGAGATGGAGGGAGATTAGTTCCTGTTCCAAGCCTCAGTGAAGCCGACAAATACCAACCTCTAAGTCTGGTGGTAAAAAAGAAGCGATGCTTTCTGTTTCCCAGATATAAATTTACCTCAACACCTTTTACACTGAAAGATATTCTCCTAGGAGACAGAGAAATTTCAGCTGGTAAGTTTAAATGTTTGGGAGTAACTACTCATGGAGCTGTGTTATTAGTCACCTAACAATAGGTCTTATATACTAATTATATTAGTAATACACATTTTCATTCTAAAGGCAACTTTTATTATGATAATAGTAATGTCAATTAAGATTAATAATTCCTAAAGTTTGTATAATATCAAGTATTTTATTGATCTACCAGTTATTTTATGTTTTTTAACCTAGTCAATTTAGAAAATGACAGAATAATGCATTTTCATGTATAAAATAGAATATTATTTGATCATACCTATTTTACATAATCAAATGAGATAAAATAATTTGTTTTTTTTTTACAATTTATTACACTGGGTAAACTGAAAGGTATTTTAAATGCTAGATCATAAAATATTACCTATTTTACATAATCAAATGAGATAAAATAATTTGTTTTTTTTTACAATTTATTACACTGGGTAAACTGAAAGGTATTTTAAATGCTAGATCATAAAATCTACATTTTGGCAAGTTATTGCATATAAACACTTGTTTTTGTTTGTTTCAGCCACCAGTGGCTCTTAACGCTTAAAATGTTCCCTTGGTTGAACAGAAAATTTGAGTTCATCTTAAGTATTGTAAAATTGAATTGATTTTCTCTGTGTGTGTGGTATTGGAAATGGAACCAGGGGAGCTCTGACACTTTGCCACATTCCCATCCCTTTTTTTTTTTTTTTTTAATTTTAAGACAGGATCTCATCAAGTTTCTCAGGCAGGGCTTGAACTTGCAATCCTCCAGCCTCAGCTGTCCAAGTAGTTGGGGTTGCAGCATTTAACTGAATTGCTATTTTTAATCTTGGTTTGAAATGTTAACTTTCTCATTAACATTTGAATAAGTGAGTCTTCAATTGCAAAAGAATATGTTACTATGTATAAACTATATAAGACAAATTCGAGGGTTGGGGATTTAGCTAGGTGGTGCCCCTGCTGTCTGTTTCCCAAGCGCGAGGTCCTGAGTTCAATCCCTGGTACCAAAGGAAAAAAAAAGTCAAAAGAAAAAGACAAATTTGAAACATTTAAAAAATACTAAGTTCTTTCTTGTAAAGGTATTTCATCTTATCAGTTACTGAATTATGAAGATGAATCAGATGTTTCACTGTACGGACGTCGAGGCAACCATATTGTAAATGATGTTGGGATTAATGTTACTGGATCAGACTCCATTGCAGTAAAAGCTTCATTTGGCATAGTTACCAAACATGAAGTGGAAATATCAACATTACTGAAAGAAATTACTACACGGTAGGTATAATAATCCTAATATACTACTTTATTTTCATTACATGTTTTTCATTTTGTTGAGTACCAGTCAGGTCCTTGTGCTTGCGAGGCAGGTTGGCGGAACCACTGAGTTAAATCCCCAGCCCCCATTACATGTTTTAATTATAGAAACTCCATTGCAAAGGATGCTTACAATATTCACATAATATGATGTAAGTGTACTTTACTAGTTTGAGTTGTTTGAAATACTGCAGATTAGTATAGCCAAACTTTAGATAAGAATGGACATACAAAAATCATTTGGCTTAAAGAAAAATTTCAGTTCCATAAAATCACGATAGTTCTGTACACATTTGCTAAATTATTAAATTGAAATAAAACAGGACCAGACAGCAAATATACTAAAACAATCTCCCACAACAGATTCTCAACTGACGGAACAAAGCATTCCATGTGAGTGTGTTTTAGTTAAAGAGGGGAGGCAGATTACTCAAAATTTGGAGCTTATATTTTCTGATTTATAATAAGTCTGCCTTGATTTACTTTTAGTAAAGATGAGTCATGAATGAATAACAGGTGATATATGTCATGAGACGTCACAGAATCTTGTGAATGTATTTTTTTATTTTAGAAAGATTAACTTTGACCACAGCTTGATACGACAGTCAAGGAGCAGCAGGAAGGCGGTGTTGTGTGTGGTCATGGAAAGCATTCGGACCGCGCGGCAGTGTTCACTGTCTGTGCACGCTGGCATTCGAGGGGAAGCAATGCGGGTAAAGCATGCTCACTTCAAAGCTGTAACAAGGACTCTTTACCACGAGGCATACATTTTGTCACGTGTTGAGATGAAAGAGCTGTAGTCATGTAGGATCTTGCACAGGAATGGTTTGTTTCAGAGCATGAAAAAACATGCAAGAAAACTTGGATTCTCAACAAGTGTAATATAACTCAAACAAAACACTAATTCTTGTGAAATAATGTGCATACTGGAGCTCCTCTCATTGCTATTTAAGTGCTATTTTAAGAATATTTTAAGAATAAAATAAGTACAGGCTGCATTCTTTGATATTATTTTGAAATAATGTAGTTCATACTTTTAATTTTTTAAAGCTGGATTTATATTTTATATATATATTCATGTATATTTATTTTTCTTAATTAATATTATCAGTGGCCAGATTTGCTTTGTTCAGTGTTAAATTCTTTTTAAACAATTAAAAAATTATTTGTTTAATTTTAAACTCAATTATGATGTTGTTTTTCCTTGTCATTCATGATGATATGACAGAAACGGATTCTTCCATAATGCTAAAGGATAACTTTTTGAAGTCTGAAAATCAAAGTTCTGTTTAGTACCTACATTTAGCTGTCTACCAGATTCTGATTATTGTAGGATTATTTGGGGGGATACAAACTGAAGCATTTATTTAATTGTTGGTGATTGTTTTGAAAAGTAAGTTAGTGATTGTTTTGGAAAGCTGCTGGAAGCTGGGGTGGGGGTGTTAGAACAGTAGATAGGCTAGACTGCAAACTGCAACGTAGTAGCCCTTAAACACAAGCACTTTCTAAGATTTGCAGTTGAAAGCAACAGGCTCCTACTTCGGACAGCCTTACTGTGGTGGTGACTTAGTCATGCATGACTAAGTGAAAAAGTGAAAAAATGGACAGGTCTTCCCCAGTACAGATCCTGAGTCGACAGTGCAGCACTTGGATCTCTGCTATAAGCAGTTGAGTTCAAGCAGGATAATTCTTTACTTGAAGGGTTTCTTTGTTTTTGGTAGGATTGTAGGAGATGTTTTGTTTCTCCAGAAAGCTATCCTGACATGTTAGGCTCTTTAATAATGTTTGTTTGTTCATTATAGTTTCATTTTATGGATGAACAGAATCCCAAGGGGAGAGACAAAGCTATTGTTTTTCCAGCACATACAACCATAGCTTTCAGTGTTTTTGAACTCTTCATTTACCTGGATGGTGCCTTTGGTGAGTAAATTATCTACTTGAAAGACAAATGATTATATTTTAAAGGAGAATTTAATAAGAAGCTTTGTCTAGTAATTATAGAAAAGTGATGTTTTTGGAACTGTGGATCTTATTTTTAGGTAAAGGAGCTGGGAAAGGTCCTCCCTTCCCTACTTAACCAGGTGCTCTTTTCTGCTGCTTGGTGAAAACTGTAGACCTTCCATGACCCCACATACAATATAGAGAAGAGCTAAGATTCAGTCCCTAAAAGGTATCCCTCGGCTTACAGGGGAAGATAACCAATGTCTTCCTGGTAGTTTTGGAGAGTGGCAAATAGGAGTAGGAGATAGTAAGGCTCCTGAAGGGTCATGTTTCCCAAATCAGAGCACCCAAAGACAACTCTTACTTCACTTTTACTCAACTCCCCCTAAAAGTAACTTTAGCAATACAAATATTTCCTTCAAAATTGTCATCTGGTTTAATACTTTCATACAGTTCATTTTACCTTTCTACACTGTCATCTTGTTTAATACTTTTGTGCAACTCTAGTTTTAAGGTTAATTAATTGACACAAGGCTGGGTATAGCCCAAAGGACCAGGCAAGGGAGCCCCTGGCTATGGTAATTTATAAACGTTTTTAAGCCTATTTCTGTCCATGTCTGAAATTCTGCAGGAGAAGGGAATAGGATGTTGAGAAACAAAACTACATTCTAAGTAAGTTCTATTTGGAATCCTTTGGGTACAGTTCTTTATAGTTACATTGATTGTTGGGAGGAGTTTAAACTCGTATCCATGAAAATCTAAAATATACATATACTTTGGCCTATGCCTCCAGGAATTCATCCAACAGGAGTGCTTACACACAGGTCAATTGATACATAAGGATATTCAGTTCCTGATAGCAAAAGATTGGAAACCACCTTAGGTGGATTTGTTAAGTAATGTTACATCCATACAACAGAGCACTATGGAGCCATTTAGTGGGATGTAGCTCTATAGATCCTAACGTGTAGTATGTAAGTATCGGGGCCAAATAGTTTTATGCATTATGTATACATACATATTCCTTAATACTTACAAAATATATGGAGTATTTCAAGATGCATAGCCAAGACACATAATAGTCCTCTGGGGTGGAAGACTGTCTGGATGCAGGATGTGCTAGAGACTTTTCTCTGTAGCTCCCTTTTGAACTCTTTGAATTATGTGTCATGTGACTGTATCTTTTCAAAAAAATGTGTAAAATTTAGCTTTAAAAAATACAGTGAATGGCCCATACCAGAATTCATTGCCCCTATAAAGTACTCAATAAAGTAGGAGTTACTTAAATTATAACTTCATTTCAAAATTGTTTTGTAGACCTTTGTGTCACTTCAGTGTCAAAAGGAGGATTTGAAAGGGAAGAAACAGCAACATTTGCACTACTCTACAGACTGAGAAATATACTCTTTGAAAGAAGTATGTCCCATGAAGAGTATTTTGAATGAATTTTTTTCTTTCTGTGTTAATATGTGAGGTTATTTGTTCACTTCCCATCTGTTAAGGGAAAATTTAAATTTAAAAGCCAAATCATTTGGTGACTGATGATGCACCTGTCTATATCTGTAGCTACATATCTATGCTTATATCTATATCTATAATGCAGCTTGGGTTGTATATTTTTATTTTGACCTCTGATAAATTTCTGTTTTTGTCATTTAGATCGAAGAGTGATGGATGCCATTTCTCGCTCACAGCTTTACTTGGATGATCTTTTTTCTGACCACTATGACAAACCTCTCAGCATGACTGATATTTCACTCAAGGAAGGGACTCACATCCGGGTTAACTTGCTCAATCACAACATTCCCAAAGGGCCTTGCATACTCTGTGGAATGGGGAACTTGAAAAGGGAGACAGTCTATGGCTGCTTTCAGTGTTCTGTGGATGGACAGAAGTATGTTAGACTTCACGCAGTCCCTTGTTTTGATATTTGGCACAAGAGAATGAAATAAAAAGAAAAATGAATATACTTTGTTGGTGTTTCAAGTAAGTGAATCGGTAATTGTGCCATAAACCTTCCTTAAATTATCTAGGTTTGCTTTGATGAGTTAAGAAAACAGAAGGCCTGGGAAGGTATCATTTTCTCCTCATCTATAAAGTGCAGATAATGGCATTATTGTCTGTCTTATAAATTACCAGGAAGACTAATAACATTGCTTATAACAAAAAAGTTTAAATATAAAATTCAAAATATAGATGATCTTTTAAAAATTTGTCAGTCACCTTATAATCACTTGGGATTTAGTCTATCATTTTAGATAACTTTTATATAATTTTTTTTTTTTTTTTTGGTACTGGCTATCGAATTTGGGTCCTTGCACTTGCAAGGCAGGCAATGGAACCACTGAACTAAATCCCAGGCCCTACTTTTATAAATCGAATTTGGGTCCTTGCACTTGCAAGGCAGGCAATGGAACCACTGAACTAAATCCCAGGCCCTACTTTTATATAATTGAAAGATTTTCTAAGTATATCAGTTTCATTTTTGTGGTACTTGGGATTGAACCCAGGGCCTTGTGCTTGTTAGGTAGTTGGTCTCCCATGGAGCTCTTTTTAAATTTTTAAATTTTATTCTGAGATTGTTTTCTCACTAAGTTGCCATGAACTAGGCCACTAGGCTGGCCGTGAACTTGACAGATTCCTCCTGTCTCAGCCTTCTGAGTAGGTGGGATTGCAGGTATGTGCTACCAAACCTGGCTTATCAATTTTATTCTTATTCAGATTCTAATTTAACATTTAAGGATGATTAAAGTACACAGATGGCTCTTTTATGGTCCTTTAACTAGTGCCCTAGTCTTGGTAAAAGGAGAAAAATTTATTAATATTTAATATCCTAAATATTTAATTGCAGTATCAAATTATAAACACTGAGCTCAGCATGGAGTTTTGTGATAGTTAACAGGGTGACTGATACCAATGGATCACTCTTTTGTGATGTGAATATATATATGCTCACAATTTTGTCTTCATAAAACTCACTATTGTCATTTTAAAGTTAAGGGAGATAGGATGTGTCTTGTCTTTGTTTTTTTTTTTTGGTACCAGGAATGGAACTCAGGCCCTTGCACTTGTGAGGCAGGTGGCAGAACCACTGAACCAAGTCCCCAGCCTGGGATGTGTCTGTCTTTGAAAATGAAAGTTTGTATATATGCTGCCGAAGTGAGTACTGAAAATGAAAGTTTATAATGATCATGCACCGTTAACGATAAGAATGTTATGCTATAAAGTGTTGTAAAGAAAGAGATATCTAGAGAAAGGTAACTGGAAGCTAAGAAATTCCATGGCATCAGTTTAAAAGTATGGAGACGGAAGGTCAGGGGTGGTAGATATCTAATAAAGGCCTGTGAGAGGGTAGAGAGAGAGCACATTTATATTAATTTCTGAAGATGTATACTTCTAATTCCTGCTACAAGAGGTAAAAAGACTTTGGTCTGGTCAAATATCTTTAAACATTTCCCATTAGAACAAATACCCAAAGACAGAAGCTTGAACCAAAAAAGCATAGACTAGGCTGAAATTTCTTGTGGGACAGAGATACACAATCAATATCTTCTTTCATGTGTACCAAAGGCAGGTAGATGCTTTAGTCCTAATTTTTATACCTTACTATCCATGATGTTACGAAATGCAAAAACGAGTGAAACATTATTTCCTGGGTCTCTATTGAATATTTTTAAAATATGGGACATTTTAACATTTAAAATATTAGATCTTTACATTTATACATGCTGTTAAGAGTTAGTATTGGGAAGTTTGTAGATTTTGTTATATTTTGTTATAGCCTAAAGGGAGGTTATTGCTCACAGGCCCACTCCAGAGTGCTACAGTTAGTGTTCACAGAATAAAGCCACAGGAAATACAATCATATTTTTTCTTGAGAGTTAAATTTGCAAAACAGTCTCACATTTATTATACCACAATTATATGTACTGTGGGGGAAACAAAGTGTCTTCTCATGGGGACAAAGTAGGAAGCACAAAATAGAAGGAAGTAAATTGTTGTATAAGTACAATGATTAACTAAACATAGACTATAGTTCATCATGTTGGTACACATTATATTCCGTGGGAGAAATGAAGCCATTGCCATCATGGTCATTCTTCTTAAAAAAATCTTCTAAAACTGCATTCTGATATGACTTGTCACGTGGCTTCTCATCCTTTTCAAATTCTCTTTCCAAGTAATGGCTTACCTAGAGGGCCCAAATGACATTTATTTAATAAAAAGGTATCAGTATCACAAGTTTCCAGTAAATTTAAAGAATGTTTACAGTAATGCAACTCAACTTATATTAAATGATGCAAGCATTCTGATAAAGCTATTTGAGGTTTTAATTTTATAATCTTTGAAGTAATTTCTGAAGCGAACGAGGCATTTGAATTAGTTTCTGCTAAGGTTCTAGATGGTTAGTAGTAGACACACTGAAACTAAATGCCTTCCAGTAATTTACATTATCAAAAGACAGTTATTTTTAAGAATTTCCACTAATGGGTGAAATTCACATTAAAATGTCTATACTTCCTAAAACTAATGAATATCTAAACAATAAAATCCAAATGTGGATTTTAAAGTAAAATTTTACTTTTTTTTTCCATGCTTCCATATCTTATCCTTGATATCTATCTAAGATAATCTAATAATAATATCACATAAAGAACAGGCATTCTTATGTATTCTGTTTCTCTGTATAACATGTTAGGAAATTTTCCTATGCAAACACATAATAAAGCATTATAGAAATGGTAGCCACTAAGCCACATGTGACTTCTAAACATTTAAAATGTAACTACGTTAAATTGTATTATGGCTTATATCTAGGTGTCCCCCTAAAAGCCTCATGCAATCATAGGTGGAACTTTTGGGAGTGACTAGATCACGTGAATAATACTAGATTAGTCCATTGACCAGTTTAGCATAGTTCTGAGCATGGGTGAAGAGGGAAGAACCATTTTGGGGCATGAGTGGCATGAACCAATAGGCTTATAGCCTGGATTAAATAAAAAGGAAAAGAAAAATTAAGTTTCATTGCTACCTGCCTGCCAGGTCATGAACTGTTTCTCCTCTGTGATGCCTCTCTACCATGCCACCCTGCCTTGGAGCCAGCGACTATGGCCTGAAACCTCTACAAACTGTGAGCTAAATAAACCTTTCCTCCTTCAACTTGTGGGGGTGGCAGGTATTTTATCCCAGAAATGAGAAAGTAAACTAAGGCAAATTGAGATATTATTATAAATGTAAAATACAAGAAATATTTTGAAGACAATAATGAAAAGTGTACCTCAATGACGATTTTTATATAGATTTTATGTTGAAATAGTATTATTTTATGTATCCAGTTAAAATTACACTTGGATCTTTTTACTTTTCCTTAATTATTTGTGGTATTGGGGACTCAGTAGCTAGGATAACAGGCTTGCGCCAGTACACCTGACTTTTTTTTAAATTTTTATTTCTTATTTTTGTAGTTACTGGGGATTGAATCCAAGGCCTTGCACAAGCTAGGCAAGAACTCTCTCACTGAGCTACATCCCAGTTCCTTTATTTTTAATTGTATTTTGAGACTGGGTCTAAGTTGCACAGGCTGGCCTCGAATTTGCCATCTTCCTGTGTCAGCTTCCCTTGTAGCTGGTTATCATGAGTGTGGGTCACTACATTTGGCTTCTTTTTACGCTTTAAAATGTGGCTACTAAAAGATTTAAAATTATGTCTATGGCTCAATTACGTTTCTATTGGAAAGTGCTCATCTGTATAATAACTAAGAAAGCAAGGTGTAATGATGAAGATAATACTCTCCAAGGCTGGGGTATTTTAGATACAAGACCATCTTTGAAAGATAGACTTACACCCTATAGATGTTTTAGTAATACATACTCTCAACTCAACTCTGCTAATAGACTGAACTTTAGGACAATTAATCAATCATAATATAGGATATATCAGCTGTTCTCAAATGAAATTTTGGTTCATGTTTGTTTTTTTCCCCCAACTGAAACTTAGCAGCCCTATGTAAGTATAAAGAATTTAATTAGCCTCAAATATTCTGCAGTTTCTTTTTTTTTTTTGAGACAGGGTCTCACTATATAGTTGAGACTGACTTGGAACTCACTATGTAGCCCAGGCTGGTCTCGAACTCACAGCGATCCTCCTGCCTCAGCCTCCTGAGTGCTGGGATTACAGGCATGCGCCACCACGCCCAGCTCTTCTGCAGTTTCTTAATAAATAAATTTATTGTGTGTGTGTGTGTGTGTGTGTGTGAATGTGTATGATACTGGGGTTGGACCTAGAGCCTCTGCACTGGGTTACATCCCCAGTCCTTTTTGTGTTTTTTTGTTTTTGTTTTTAAAGTTTGAGATAAGGTCTTGCTAAGTCATCTAAGGTGGGTTTAAACAACTTCTTCTTTTTTTATTTTTTTGGAACCAGGTATTGAACTCAGGACCTTGTGCTTTTGAGGCAGGCACTAAATTAAATCCCTGGCCCTGGGCTTGAACTTGAAACATCCTGCTTCAGCTTTTTGGGATTATCGGTGTTTACCACCATGCCTGGCTATAAATTTAGCTTTAAATGTGAGCTAATGCTCAAAATCTTTTTTCTTTTCTAGTATACATGGGTATAAAAAGGACATACATTAATTTTGCCAGCAATTAGTTGCACACTATTTCTATTTCTACCTTTTCATTTAATAAAATATGGTACCTGCCCTCCACTCTGTTTATATGAAATAACTAACTTACTAAATCTTCCTGATGATTAAAGAAGGAAACTTCTGTTAGTTCATGTTTCAAGTCTAGGCTTTCTCTCTATTGGACTTGTGGTCTTAGGCAAATAATTTAACCTTTGTGAGGTCTTGGACAAATAATTTAAATTGAACCTCTTTTATGTCATTTGTAAGGAGAGGGAAACAGCTATATAGTTGGATTGATGTGAGGGTTAGCTACTGTTATTTAGGCTTATGAATATCACTCTTACCTGCCTGGTGATAATGCAGCTGATATCCAATAGACCCCTGGAGAAAAAATGTAGCTAAGTAGTTTGCTGGTTTGCATTTTTTTTTCTACTTTTGCTTTCTACAAAAGAACCAAAGATCTCCTAATGTCTGGGAGAATTCATATTGTAGGATGTGCCTCTGGGTGTGTCTGTGCTAATGAATGGACTGTGTGTCCTGGCTGAGCTCTTGGTGCTGTGTGTATCCATCGGCATAGGGCAAATTTCCCTCCTGCTCTTCCACTGTTGACCAACAAGGGTTTCAGGGGAAAGGTTGCACTAAGTATTGAGGAGGAAGTATAATTGAGTGGGAAGAGGATTGGAGAGGGAGAGAAAAGATAAAAAGGACTTACTCTTAACACTTGAAGTCAGAGACCCAGCTGTCTTTTTCTGCATACTCAGAGGTTGGTGTTAGGCACCTTGAACTGTCGCCAAACAAGAAGGGAGACCACTGGGCCGTTATCTTAAGCAAGAGCACAGACTGTGGAACTAAGGCACTAGATTTCAATAAAACAGGCATTAGCCCTGTCGTTCATGAAGGAAATTCCCTCCAGGAGGCAGGGTGTGTCCAAGGTTAAGGAACACAACACTGGAGCCAGACTGCCCAGGTTACATTTCTGGTTTTGCCACTTATAGCTATGTGAATTTGCTGGTTATTTAATCTGTCTGAGCATCATTTTCCCCATCTCTAATTTACCCAATAAATTATCATGAAGATTAGATAAGTTCATATACTTATTTGTTAATTAGAGTATCTGGTACTGAGGCAGGCAGCAGAACCACTGAGCTAAATCCCTGGCCCAGAGTATCTGGTACTGAGAAGGTGTGAAAATGTGTTATTTATTTTTACTCTTACAAGATCTATATGAAACCCTTCAATTCATATGGAAGGCTGGGATACAGAAGCTAGGTAGCAGAACCCCAGGCTTCTGTTTGCTGCCTTTCCAGCCTCCCCAATTCAAATTATTTTTAGATCTTCTCATAATCTCATCTAATTCCCACAATGCTATGGGGTGGGAATTATTTGTACCGTTAAAAATTCTAACAGTGTTGCTAGAAAAAGAGATCCACTCCTATAGGTTAGAAACTAGAGAGCCTTGTAAAGATGAGTAATTTGGGATTTTAATGACCATTCTTGGAGGAAGAAAGCTGAATTGGCTGAGTCTGAAGTGATCAGAGTCCATGCAGTTGGAACACAGATGCATTTAAATCACAATGAAAACATTAGATGGTATAAATTAAATTTGTTTGAATTACCTCAGTTTTAGAAAGTCGCCTGTCATTGTCTGCGTCTATCTGTTTAAAGGTTTCAACACTCCGTGGACCTTTGGTCACAGCATAAAGTTCAATCTCAAAAATCAATGTTGCATCAGGTGGAATCTTGGCTTCTTCTAAAGGTATATATTTTAAAGTTTAATTTACATAAATATACTTTTCAGATATGTATTCATGAACAATCGTAATAGTATTATGATTATATTATTTCACATTTATAACTGCTTTCTACATACTTTTAGAAAAACCATTTTGACTTAAAATTTTTTGTTTTATTTTTCTCTTATTATTAAAACCCTTTAGGAATATTTTTTTTTTCCATCTCTTTTTAACCAATCAGTTCAAAAGACCTACAGGATCATTATTTCATTATTAAATTAAAAGAAATACAAATCATATAATTTTTATTAATATACCCCACTATCCTGCAGGAGAGGTGATACAGAGAAGAAATGTGTAACAGAAAAAATTCAAAGTAGAGATGATAATCTCTTAGAAAATGATTTTTTGTAGTTTTTTTGGAAGCATAAATATAAGTATAAATATATCTGGTTTTCAAATTCTTCATAGACAGTAAAAAATAAATGAAACAACAGAAAAAAATTAGAAACAATTTTTCCAAAACATTTAAAATCACAATAAAAATTTAAGCATTAAACTGAATAGTTCTCTTTAATAAAATTAACCTGTTAGTTGATATCACAGATGATTTTAGTTAGCTATGGTCTATTTCACAAATAAGAATTTCAAAAGAATGACCCGCAAAAATAGCTTGCCAAGGAGCCGTGGGTAGCTTGTAGCACCGGTATATTCCCAGGGAATCACACAGTACCTTATATACTCTGGGCCTTCAAATGGATGAATGAATGACACAAATTGTTTATTCTAAAAATGATTAAGTTTGTCCTTTGACAGAAGCATCCGTTTCATTTATGAAACAGAGAATTCTTGCTAAGTGCAAAGTGAAAAAGGTTTTGCAAATAATAGTCAAAGGGGAAGTAGGTTGATAATTTCCAAAGCCAGGGCACAGAAAAACTTCCCAAGTGTCATGTGACTAACGTGAACGTCCTGGTCTACTGCCCACATATTACCTTACTTGAGAGTGAAAAAGCTAGGGTTGATTCAATGACTTTTTACAAAAACCATTCCTATTCTGTCCAGTTATAATCACCTTATGACAGAAAAACAGCTTCTCTGGATGATAAAGACATACTCGAAAGCAAGGCACCCCTCCCTCTTCGAGTGCACCCCCCCCTTCCTTCCTTTCCCCTCTTCCTCCTCTCCCCATCCCCCTCCATCTCTCTTCCTTCTCCTTCTCTCCTTTTCTTCCTTCTTTTTTTGGTACTAGAGATTGAACCCAGGGCCTCTGTACTCAGCTATATCACCAAACAGTTTTTAAAATTTTGAGACAAGTTTCACTAAATCACAGAGTTGTCCAGGCTGGGCTTGAACATGTGATGTTCTTGCCTCAGCCTCCTAGAGCACTGGGATTGCAGACATGTATCATCATCATGCCAGGCTCAAATTCAGATTTCTAGGCAGGCGGCAGAACCATTGAGCTAAATTAAATCCCCAGCCCCAAATTCAGATTTCTAAAGAAAAAAATATTATAGGTGCATACACAGTTTCTGAACAATTCTACTGCAAAACACAAAAGTATAACCAGCTAGTTCTTTTTCTTGCAAAAATTTATAAAGTTTGGAAAGGAGAGATATTTATATACATGTGTGCTATACAGTTCCTGACAGTTACAGAAGCCTATCAGAGAAGGAGTTAATGTAAAGAATCTATACATACCACACATATCATTAGTTAAAGCGCTAAAAGTCACATGCATTTCAAGACATGCAGGGGTGCTCTGTACATGAAGCAAGGACATGTTGCAGAGAAAAGACTTCTTTCAAGTATTACCTAAAACAAAGTTACAGGTACAGCTAATATTAGGTCTTAACAAGTTACTTATTAAAAGCTTATTAAAAGTTACATAGGGTCTGCATTGCAACTTTTCAAACAATCTAATCCAAGCTATTGTAATGCAGGTAAGGCTAGCAGTTAACTACATTTCAATAAACATAACTTTTTGGGGCCTCAGTTCCCGTATGTGTGAAATGAAGGTGCTGGTACTATTAAGAGAGAGAATCATGTTATGATCTGGATCTAAAATGTTCCCCCACCAAGGACTCATGTGTTGAAGATTTGGTCTCTGATGCAGTAATGTCCACCTGTTTGCCGATCGTCACGTTGCTTAAAATGGCCTCAAGTTAATGTCAACATTTTAAGGATAGTAGTGCATTTAACTTATCTTCAAATTTCTTCTTCCCCAGGTTCCTCTACAAATAAAACTGGACATACAAAGTAAGACATCCTAGAGCAATTTATTTATTTGTTTATTTACTTGTTGTGGTGTTGAGGATGGAGTCTAGGGCTTTGTATGTGACAGGCAAGCAATCTATCACTGAGTTATACCTTCAGTTCTGGGAGCTATTTTGATGAGACTGTTAAATTATTCACAGAAAGCATTGAAAATGAAGCTATCCTATCTGGATCCATCTCTTCAAGAGTGCTAGGTGTGCATGAGCTTGAGTCACTGATCTCTCTCAACTGAATTTGAGGCAGTGACTCTTGCTGGAAAGAACAGGCAGGGAATCACTGTTCTTTTCTTTCTTTCCTTTTTGGTACTGGAGATCGAACTTGGAACCTTGCGCTGTGAGGCAGGCAGCGGAACCACTGAGCTAAATCTTTGGCCTGTGGAATCGCTCCTCTTACCAACTAAACCAACAGCCTCCAAAAAGTCACGGCATTTCCACAAAGTATTTGGGAGTAACACAATTCATCTTTATATTTATTGGTGACACCTCAAATTGAAAATGAACTCACTTCAGGTCAAACTACTACATCTCTGGAACCAAAATCTCATCACAGAAAATTAGCCATGAATTATATACTAAATATTTCAAATAGGTAGGTAGAGGTAGCAGGGACCAAGACACAGCAAGGACGCAAAGATTCTTTCTGTAGAGCCTTCATATAGCCATAGAAACCCAATTGAGGATATCAGCGGGACTTGCCTGTCTTTGCCTACCCTCCTTCCTTAAAAATTTCCTCCTCTATTTGGCAGCACTTAATTTTACTAGATTTAGAAAAATTAATACATGCACATGATTAAATATTCAAACAGTACAGAATATTACAGTGAGAAGAAATCTCACCCTCGACCCTCAGGCCTCCTCTTCAACCCTTGATGTCCTCAGATAACTATATGTCCTTTCTGATACAAGCCATGTGGATATCTGTATATGTGACATTGACCTCGGCTGTGCAAGCTCTTTCAGGATAGTGAGTAGTATTTAATGCCCAGTGCCTAGAACAGAGTCTGGCACAGATGCTCATTGAATATTTGTTGCAGGAATATAGTCTATCCTACTTTATTTTAATGTATTAATATGGATAGCTCCCCTTCATTCTTTTCACTGGCTAAGAAGTAATATAATTACTAGTGATATAATTTAATTTCCTACTGATGGATACTCAGACAGCTTCTAGTCTTTTGCTAACAAACAAAAAATCTTGAATGAATGTTCTTTTACGTATACCTTTGTGCACATTCCTAGAAATGGAATCAGTCAGATATATGTGTAGTTTCTCTTTAGACAGATGTTGTTAGAAAGACGAATGATGTACATTCTCAGCAATAAAGCTAGAGATAGCTAGTTTTCCCATGCTCCATCATGGTTAATCTGATGGGTGAAAAATGGTGTCTCAATTTCCCTTTCTCTTCTTTTAATTATGAATAAAATTATTTCCATATATTTAAAGGCTATCTGTATTTTTAAAAATAGCGTTCCACCTGTTTTATATATTAATGTGACCCATTTCTGGGGCTAGGCCATTTTTATTATTGGTTAACATGTTCCTGCTGCTTGTACCACTGGTGGTACATGCATGTCTGTACAAGCTACCTCATAGGATTGTCCCATGCCTGTACCATCGCTGGTTCAGAGCCACCTTGGCAGTGAGACATACAAATTACAGCCTCATTATGAACATGTTAATAAGGCTTCATTCATGTGTGTTGCAAATATTTTTCCCCTTTGTCTGCTTTACTTGGGTTTGTGGATCTTCTTGCTCCACAACTTTTTTTTAAAGCAAGATATTGAAAGAAAAAGCTCATTCCTTCCATGTTTTAAGTCTTGCACTATATCGAGGTAACTATGACTGAAATTTTATATCTCAGATTGTACTGTTACAAGGTTCTACTACTATCCCTTACCTCTAAAATCATGTTCCAGTTGCTTGAATTTTAATTTAATTTTGATTCTTTTTACCAAAGACCTGTGCTATAAACATTTATGTAATAACATAATGTGTACATATAATTATACTAAAAACAGAAATGTCCAAGGGAGCATATAAAATATACGCAATCAGTATGAGTGTTGCAGCTGTGTAAAGAACTCTGGTCAGAGACCTATATTCCAGTGACATCTCATTTTCTTCATAAGTACACAGAAAGGACTGGACTGAACTAGATACAGGTAGCTTGTTGGACCCTGTGCTTCTGTGATTATTTCCTACATGATTTTCAGTTTTTGTTTGCTTTTTATTTTTATTTTTCTTTTTATTGAGTTTATTGGTACATTCTAGGTATACAATACAGTTATATTTGTTACTGGGATCTTGTACCTTTACATGACAGATCTTGGTTCTCATTTTTTTCCCCTTGTCCCTGCCCTCCCCCCTTCACCTTTTTACAAACACTATTTACAAACACTATTTCCTTTTATTCATTTTCTCATATTTTTTTCCTTTACTTTTTATTTTTAATCATTGTAAAATATAACATACGGTTCACCACCTTAACAATTGAAGTTTACTCTTCAGTAGTGTAAAGTGCAATCGCACGGCTGTGCAACCAGTCTCTGGAACTCATCTTGAAAAACTGAAACTGTACTCTCTGTAACACCTTCTTCTTATTACCCTTTCCCTCTGGCAATCACCCTTCATAGTAGCATAAGCTATGTGTATAGCATAAATCAGAATTTCCCTCTTTTTAAAGTCTGAATAATATTCTATCATATATTTAATTTTGCTTATGAACTCTTTTGTCTTTCAGTTCATTATGAATAATGCAACTATAAACACATGTACAAAAGTCTCTGAGACTCTGCTTTCAGTTCTTTCTCATATACACACAGAAGTTTATGATTTTTTTTTTTTTTTTGGTACTGGGGATTCAACTCAGGACGTTGTGCTTGCTAGGCAGGGGACGGCACCACTTGGCTAAATCCTTGGCCCATGATTTATTTTTATATATAACTAGAAAGAGAAATTTTAAACACCTTACCATAGCCTTCCTTTCCATATGCAAATGAAGGAGGTATGATTACTTTTCTTTTTTCTCCAGGGCACATATGCATCATAGCAATGTCCAGACCCTTTATGACTTGTCCAACACCGAGAACAAACCATTTGGGGTGGCCTTCATTTTGTGTCCGGCTATAATAAAAAACACTCAGATAAGGTGACTTCAAGAAACCAAGTAATTTAAAATTGGAGTCTCTTTTCCCAATTTAGTCCTCTTTCTGAAGCCCTCAGTGGGATTTGGCTCAGAATACAATTACAAGAAAGAAGTATGATTTTCCCAAATCTAGTTATTAGAAGGCATCTCATTTTTAAAAAATTGTCATTTTTACAAAAACTATTCAACAAGTTAACTTTTTAAATTGGTCTCCAGCCTCTAATTGTACAAATAACTCATATAACATCTCTGGATTTGTTTTTTAAAAATGAGGAAGGTTTAGCCTCAAAAAAGTCATTTTGATGGTAATTTAAAAATCATACTTTTATTATATTTCTCGATTTTTCTTCTAAATGAGAAAAGCTTACTTTCCCTAGCCCTCCATAGGGGAAGAACAGACAGGAAAGGTAGTTCTATCTAGAAATAATAAACTGTCCATCAAATCAGTTATGCAGCCGCGGGGATGAGAGCTCGCAGGAAGACAGGGGCCGGCAGCAAACACCTGAGAGGCATTTTTGTAGTGGTTGTAGTTAAAAGATGGGCCCCAGGCGGAGGGCCAGAATAAAATCTAATTATCCTATGTAATGTCTGTAGACAGACTCCAACTCTCAGCAAAGGAAAAACCTGAATACGCTTAACAGCAATCCCTTCAGCTCTAAGGGTCCCAAGGATAGTGGTGGTCATCGAAGACGTGTGTGGATGCTGTGATTTTTGTTTTGTTTTGTTTTTTGTTTTTAACCAATGGGCCAACATTTAAAAATATTCAGTTTCCTAGGGAACTTACTTGCCAAGTAATGCAATTTTTTCTATGACAAAATGATTGTTGTTAAAAGTAAAACAACCAATTAGGCTTTGCTGGGTGGGTAGAGGAGGCGAGACTTAGTGCGTGACCGGGGCCGGGGGCCGTAGGCAGCGTCTCCTACCTGCAGTAGAATTTCGAGCCGTCTTTAGCCAAGTAGCCGTCGTAATGGGCATTGAGCAGGTCCCCCTTCTTGCTGGTCTTTGAACAGTTTTCTGGACGATACAAAACTTCTATTTTTACTTCTTCTGTGCTCTCCTCTTTCTTTTGTCCCTGAGCAATGAAACAGCCACACAGGCAAAAGAAAAGGACTAATCTGTGTAAGGAACGCATGGCTCCAGGAGCAGAGCCCACTAGATCACTGCGATCCCCAGTCAGAGTCGGGGGCTGCTCGGAGGCCGAGTTCCGACACGTGGCAGGGCTTGTCTGCTTCACAAAGGGCCGGGGGCGTGGCCACACAATGACCCGCCCCTCCTGGCTGAGCCTCGTCTCTGAGTGCTGTCTAGCCAGCCAGCCGCCGGGGGACGTCTCTAGTTCTGGGCGCCAGGGTTCACTGTCCTCAGTAACTCCGACAGCGCCTCATACTCGTACTGTTTTCCTTTGCCCAGTGTGCATGTTATAGCCAGTTTCCTCTGGGTTCTTAAAATACAACAGGCCAAAGATCCGATAAACAGCCTCCCACCTGAGTCAGAGAATGTGGCTGTCCCTCTTGGGCGCAAAAAGGCTTCTGTTAAAGCCCCTAGGGTGTCATCGGATAGGGCCAGAGGAAGCTGCCGAAGCGGAGGGCGCAACCTCCCCACAGGGCAGGTTTGCTGACTTGTCACAGAAAGACAGTGTTCGGTGCCCAGCAGTAAAAGGCGTAAAAGGATGTATTAGGCAGAATTTTAAACGTACACCTCAAAGAAGTAGTTTGGGCCTCCGAGAGGAAGACAAGCGCCTGGTGACCTTTAGTTGTGTATATTTATGGGGATTTCGGGGTGTCCTTAAAATGGGTTAAGATGTGAATTCTCTTCTCTGTTCGGGTTTTAAAACGCAATGATTTACATACATTTGAAGCCAAGATTCAAGTGTGCTTCCTGAGAATGCGGGTTGATTTGAGGAAGCGCAATTTACAGATGAAAGGGACCAGGAAGAGCCCAGTTAAAAGGCTCTTTAAGGACCTTAGGACTTTTCCTTGGAAGGGAAAAAAAAAACGCTTGGGTAACTTTTGTGTCCTGAAGCTGCAGGTTTTTTTTTTTTTTAAGTACAATTTTAATATTACAACCTTCTCTTGTCTCCCATCTTTATTTTTTTTATTTTTATTTTTCTCTTCTACTTCAAGGGAACTAGCGGGTTTGGAGAGGGTCAGGCATTCTGGAAGAAAAGCATAAAAAGCAGGCTTCAGTGGGGTCTAGGTGCTTCTGTGGTGTCCTAGCACCTTCTCTGTGTTGGAGTCCTGCAGTTAGGAGTTCCAGGCTGCATCAGTCACATACAACCTAATGGCCACCTATGGGAAAAAGTGGCCCTAGTTCCGGCTTCAGGGCTGAGCTCTGGAGATTGGGGTCCTGTGGCCGGTTTGCGTTTCCGGGATCCGCCTCTGGGGGGCGCCCTCGATCTGAGGGCCTATAGTAGTAACTATCAAAGAGCTAGACAGAAGCTCTTGCCATTTTCTTGACAGTGCCTAGGGATCCGAATTTATCCACATCAAACAGGCAAATTTAAAATTGGGTGTTTTGTTCATCTCAGTTATATTTTGTAGCAGGGATTAGGCCAAAACTATTTGACACAATCCTGCCCTCCCATTTTAGTATGAAAACCTTTTAAATATGCAGAAAAGTTGAATTTGACAGTGAACATTCTATAACCACTACCTCGATTATATCATTATTGTTGTTATATTCATCAGTTCATTTATGGGTTCACCTTATTTCCAAGTGAATACCTAGAGGACCCAAGGGGAAGGCCTGGCAGGGTCTGGAAAAGTGTTGTTGCTTCAGTCGCTGGGCCTGCTTTAGGCCGCTGTTTTGACTTTCCAAAATTCCGCAAAAACTGAAAATCACTGAAAACTCTGTAAGGTGGCAATCATTTCCAAGCAAGATTTTTTTTTAAAAAGTCATACAAGCTAGGGGTATACCCTCTAGTTTTTGAATACAATTCTAAAGTGTAGTTCCATGCTTTACATTCTAAGTAAATTAGCGGCTCTCCAGGATTATGTGCTGGCCCGATGACAATTCCTGGGCCGAGGACCGGCCCCCTTCGGTAGCACACTGATTTCCTAAGAGCTAATTTTTCGGATCCCGAGTGTGAGAAGGCTGCAAAGCAGGCAGAAGTAGCACGCCTTTTTATTTTCTTTAAGAACAAAACAAAAACCAACTACTGACAAGACCTGAGGCCCCTTGGGGTAAGGGACGCTGCGAGGCCTAAATCCCTGCCCAGCCGCTGAGCACGCGGCGGGGCCCTAAGGCCTCAACCTGGGGTGCGCGGCCGGGCCGATCCGCTGACAGATGGAGGGGAAGGCGGAGGGAAGTGGGGAGGGAAGAAGGCAGCCCGCCCTCCTCCTCGCGCAGCTCGGCGTTGGGCGGCTGGCTAG